TTATCAAATAAAATAATAATACACACAAATCTAAAACTTTTCAACCACACATCTCCCATCAATCACTATTCTAAAAATTTTCAACCCCCTAAAAATCTACAATAATGGGGGCCAAACAGGGGCTAAAGGAGTTGATTCCATTTTTTCCTTTTTTTGTCTTGAAATAAATTCTTCTCTTAAAAAAAGAAGGTAACCAATAAATCCGATTGAAACGATGATTTATTGTGTTTTCTAATCGGATCGGTGTTTGGCCTCTAATCTGATCAGGGTAATTGCTAAGCCTGGTACACACTTGTATGACTAAGTAAACTTAGGTTGGCTTCGAGTGACCCGGGCTCCATCTGAGTGTTTACCACTTTTTAGTAATAAAATTTTGCAGGACAACCATTCTACAATAACACTATTTGATAAATCTTCACTTTGTAACTGAGTGTGTATACATATTTATGAGATTTCTGTATGGCCAATGTATTCGCCACCCTATGGTAGTTTGACTTGTAAAAAACACTTTCTCCGAAGAACACTTTTCTTTACAGATATACAAGTACTGATGGCGCATATTTTGTTATTGTAATGGACTGGGACACATGGTGACATTAGGTTGACGATTTTCTCCAGTAATGTTGATGCAGAGTGGTAAATGTTGTCCAAATAGTTTTTGCGCGAGCTAGAAAAATTGATAGAACTGGTATTAACAGAACCTAGAGAAACATTTGAATCTGAAAGTTCATAGAGTTAACTGAAGACGATTCAAGTCTTTGTTTATGACCCTTCGAGTTCATAGAAGAAGGGGATCCATGTAGCTGACCTTAGATATGTATAGAGTTGTTGGGCATTTGAAGAGGTTGACAAATTCCTCACCCCTTCCTTTTAATTGCTTATCCCTCTTTCCTATTTTTTCTAGTGGAGATTATTATGTTTGAAGTTTGCTTTTTTCTCTTTCCAAACAAAATGTCTGTAGTTTTTTCATTACGGACATTTTTTGGGAACTATAATGCTAAGTGTTATAACATGGCTTTGAGATTTTTCTTTATCTTATGGGTTATATGCTCATCGTTATTGATTTTCTTTCAAATCAGTCAAACTGGTGCAGCAAGTTCATAATATGATTGATCATGTGATGTTTTCTGTGTTTTTTCTGTATCTATGTGCTGAAGATGCTCATAGTGGTTTTGTAATTGGTTGTGTTTTGCATTGCTACATTATGAGATAAATTAATTGTTGTAAGCACATTTAGGACCCTGTTTTTTATGTTTGTGTTTCGAGAAATTTTGCTGCACCTCCCATTGGATCGTCCTTCCTCTATCTCTTTAATCTTTTGTATTTTTATCTTTATTCTCGGGACTCAGATTTATGAGAGGTGATATAATGCCTACCCTGTTTTACCATTTTTTATTGTCTTTGCTACTTTTTCTTGGTCTTGTTGACTGCGGGCTCAGAAGATCTTTCACGGGGCTAGAAACGTGTCATTGTACTTGAAGTGCGTATTAGTATTTCAATTGTCATGCCACTTTCTAATGAATAGTTATACATGGTAAAAAATGCAAAATAAGGTGATTTTGTTTTGGTAAACTGTGAAAACAAAGAGCAACATTTAGCCCTTGCTTGAGCCACATTTTATCAAAAACTCATTTTTTTCAAAATTCATTTTCATCCGCACATTCTTCAATAAAATAATTTTACACGTAAATTGAAATTTTTTTTTTTTAATTTTTTAACCACACATTCTCCAAAAAAACACTATTCCAAAATACATTTTCCCCCCAAAATGGGGCCCAACAAGGGCTTAATATCTGCATCTTCTTTACTGCCTTGTGGAAAATGTACATGCATACTCGAAGGGAAAAATAGACGATGGATTTCTCATGCAGTACAAGGTTCAATTATATTATTGAATAGTTAAATTCAATTTCTTGGGTTTTCCTTGCACGTAATGACTCTGTATTATGTATATTCTTTCTTGTACTCGGGAATTACTTTTATTCAATCAGCTTTCATATGATTATCAGTCATTTAGGAATAGTTTATGCTTTGCTTTATTCGGGTGCACTGTTTGTGACACTTTTTGGTTTGCATTACAAATTAAGCAGAATAATCAGGCTATAAACGTGATATTTTTGGCATTCTGCAGTATTACAGAAATCCTGCAGGAAAGAAATTCCGTTCAAAGAATGAAGTGATGAACTTTCTGGAAACAGGAAGTAAGAAAACGAAAAAGCCAAATGATGCAGAAGCTACGGTTAGTAAAAATAAATTTCTAGATTGGGGTCGTGTAACTTTCTATACATTCAACGTTGATTGTATCAAATTGTTTGTGCAGCCTTCTAAGAGTCCTGCAAGCAAAAAACAAAAGAAGTCGAGCTCAAAGCGCAAGAAGTCTGAGGCTTTGAAGTTTGATTTCGAGAATCCACCAACTGCTGTCAGCTGGATTTGCACAAATGCTCCTGAAGAGACATGGACTGCCCGGGTTGACAACAAACGGGTGGCTGAATCTCGCCAACGTGAGTGGGCTGCTGCATTTGAACATGCCACTCAACGCAAACCGAGTGAGGGGGCCTCTAACTGAATGATTCTGATATGCCATATAATGAGACGAGGCATGGAACTTTTAGATAAATGATAGTGGACCCTTTGTTTTCCTGCAGTTAGCTCATACAGAGGTTTTCAGTTTAACCAAACACCTGTTTAAATATCATTTTAGATTGGTTAGTCACCCTCTTCTGAAATTAGGAGTTAGAATGGGTTATACACATTGGGTGTTGTTTTTATTATACTTTCAGAAAACTGTGATGGAGGTGCTTATTTTTACTTTTCAACTGTTTAATGGAGTCGGCCTGTCTCTGGATTCTTTATATAGCTCGACTTTGAGTTTGAATTGAACAGTTTGGTTTATGTAGACACAGATGTTTTATTTATTTGTTTGTTTAGTATTTTCTTTAGTTTAGCAACTGAATGACTGGGGGAAATACATGCGAAATTTTTGTCTATTTTTGTTCCCTGCACTGTTTGGTCAAGTGAATCACTCTTATTTACCCATTGTTTGGCTTCCATTTTTCAAAATTCGGCTGAATTTAATGTAGGATTATGCCATCTGTACACTCATTTTTGCCATCCTTGTTGACACTTGCCTGTGTCAAAAATTTGGCTATTGTTTGGAAAAAGTGTTGAGTCAAACTAGGTGTACGTGTAGTATAACTCTTTAATGTATTCGAATGAATATTTCTTATGTTATAGATTTGAGTAATTTTATTTAGCACCATTGTTATTATAATACCAGTTTATGTGACGTTAAGTATCATTAAATGAAATGTATAATTAAATGAATTACATAATTAAATCTTTAATTGAACTCACCACATCATGTGATGTACATTGATGCTCTAATAGCATTGGTAGTATGTAACATTATTCTATAGGTAAATATCAAGTGCGATATATTATACATTTAATTGTAGACGGGGAAAAAAATGGACTTTTATCATCTGTACATTGAATTTATACATTTTGGTTGACGTTTGCATTGTTGTCAACAATGCATTGGATGCAAAAACTGTTTAAAATTTAAATTGTTCAATTGAATAATATCACGTAGCAAAGTGTAAACAAAAGCGTAAATGTAGCAAGGTTAGAAAGAAATAAGAATAAAAATTTAAGGCGAACACGTCAATATTTTGCATGCAAATGACAAGTATTAGTCAAGGAAATGACACGTGCAATCTTCAAACTGCCACGTCATGGCCTTTTTACACTGCCGAACGAACCTCACCAATCGCAACCAAAAAGCCAAAGAGCACAAATACAAAACTTGTAGCGGAGTTTCAGTTTGATGCCGCGCTTAACTTTTCAAGGCTCCTCAAGTATATTCTCCGCTTCAAATTACAACGTAAAAGAGTGATTTTGTTTTATGAATCTGACCAAGAAATGGGTGATGAATCTGATGATATCGAGAGAATTGAAGGGTCATTTTCAAGAAATATTTCTAAAATTCCCATGGAGATTTCGATGGCAGAAGCATCGTCAATGTTTCCAGGGTTTCGTTTTTCGCCGACGGATGAAGAATTAATAGAATATTACTTGAAAAGGAAGATTATGGGATCTGATAAATGTGTTGATGTGATTCCTGAGGTTGATATCTGTCGGCACGAGCCTTGGGACTTACCAGGTTCGTTCGACTTCATTCTCATGCAATATGATATACTATGGATATACATTTAATGTATATGTTGGTTTGTGTGTATTATATGCATATGTAGTTTAACAAATCCTAAATGTAGTGAGGTTTTTGTTTCATGTTGTTCTTATCTCTGGAAATAGATTAGGAACAGTAGAAGGTTTTACCATTTAGAGTCTTTTTAAGCTAAATTTCAGGGTTTCCAGTAGACCCATAAAGCCAGATTGTATGGAAAAAGTGGTCAACAAACTGGCTTGTACCCCAGCAAGAGAGTGATAAACCGGTTGTAACGTAAGAGTGGCTAATATGCTTTGTGTTTCAAGTATTTTGAGTTTCCTATGATCAAATATTCCATTATTGGTCCATTCTTCATCGAATTAGGCAGATGATCTAACAATGACAGAATTTTCTTGAAAAGGCCATTGTATTTTGGCCCTTTGTTCTGGCAATCCCTTAGGATTGGAAGACATAAGTTAGTTGAAAAGGTATAGATCCCTTACTCGAAAATAAAGCACATTCTTTGGACATCTATCATTAATGGAAACATCCTTAACCTCTTAATTGTCCTACACTGTTGAATCTCCTGTCCTTTATTGGTGGCAGCAGGTTTTATTTTAGGAATTCAAAACTCCCATTTTTATGCTTAGTTTTTTCTTTTCACAAAAATAAGACTATAATTTCTTTAAGTCGGTTTCCAAAATCCCTGTTAGTCATTTAAGGTTTTTGTAGTAGTCTCACGGGCGGCTCATGATTTTTGACGTGGTCTTGCTCCTGCAAAATAGAGGAGGATTTTACATTTGGATTTGATGTGAAGTAGTAATGGGGTATGTGGATCACAAACCTTAGAAATTAAGTTGCTGCTAAATAGCTTATACGCAACTTGTAAGAGCAGTATATTGAATTAACAGGTTCTGAACTGTCATCATCTTTTTCTGGTGGTTCCTTTGTCAGGAAATCTGAGATATACAACTTGTGATTACCCTCTTGCGATCAAAAATAGATATTTTTCCATGGATAAGAAAATTTTGGAGAAAAGTGTTAAGTTGGATTTTTGGGATATCCCAATTGTGATTATCAAGCATTTGCAACTATATTTATGGATAAGAAAGAAAAAAGTGCTCAACTTCCAGGTCTCCAGACTAATGATGAAGGAGGAGTAAATAAAATTATGGTCAAGTCAATGCATGCGAAGAAATTAATATATCCTCACCTTTTCTCTTTCTTTTGAGACAGCTTACCCTATGTTTTTGTGCTTTCTTTTTATTTTGATGTCTCCATGTTGTAACTCTAGAGGTGGCAAAAAAGTGGTAGACGGTATTTGGATAGCAATGTAGTTCTTTGATTGAAATGGAAACTATTTTGATCTGAGCTATTGTTTGAAGCAGTCTAAATTGATTGGAAGAGTCTGACTGAATGTAAAACCAGATTGGTTGGATAGATGTCTAACCATGAGCATGGGAAACCCCCATGTTATTAGTCTCAAGTGCAGATGTAAAAAATTGCCTCCATTTTCAGGCCTATTCAATTATTCAATATTGCTTATTTACTGGAAAGATTCTGTGAATTTGAGACTTTTTAAATGCCTTTTGCTTGTATCTGCTGATCAAATGCAAGACCAAAATACAGTAAAATGAAGGGCAAATAATATCAGAGTGGGAGCATATGAATTGTCACTTCCTGAGGAAATATAGGGCAAGTGATTGAATTGGAAGGTGGTGGTGATTGGTAGAAGGCAATTGAAGTAAGAGGGAGATAATTGGACTATGCTCATTTCATGGGATAACTTCTACTTTCTTATTGATACATTTTCAGAATAATTATCCCAAACATTCACATTATTTGTCCATTTTTTGGCAACGCTTGGCAAGCTATCGAAATCCTTGCCATCTCTTCCTTTTGTACTTTCTACTGCTCATTTTCTTTTGTTGTCAAAGCTCTAGAATACTTTTACATTAGAGGCTAAACCATTAAAAATAATAATGTCCACAGAACTTCATTTTTGGCTCCAAACGTCGCATCATATAGCTTGTTAAACAACAATAAGAGTCACATGCACAAGTCTCCAATGCAACTTAGATTTAAAAAAAAAAAAATGAAAAAAATCTAGTGTGTTGTCTTGTTTGTTAAGTTTGTAGATTTATGGAAAGCTAATAACCTTTTAGGTTTTTGTTGTCATACATGATAACATAGTACAAATACTTGACGGGTCTCACAAATTTTAGTGATGACTCTGAATTTTATTTTATTGTCCTCTCTCTTACATGTACTCAACTCTTCTTCGAGCAAAGATAGATTAGATTCTTCTAAACCCTTTTTTCTATTTTACAGAAACAAACTAGGGGCTAGTTTAGACAGTGGGAGGGCTTAGAATTATTATTTCCCAGATTTTTGTGTTTTATGGAAAAGCGGAAAAATTAGCTGTGTTCATCTTTATCACAGTGAAGGATGAACTATGGTCTCTAGGAAGTCATTGTCCCACGCATGTACACATTAAATTATTTGTACTAATCTGGAACTGATATTCTGGCTTCCCAACTGAGTTACATAACTTTAATGACAGTACTACCTTATTGAGCCTTTTGGTTCGATTGACTTGTCTTTGTATTCATCTGTTTGGGAGTAAATTTCGGTTACTACAAAAAGCCGAATTTTTTCTGGATTTCTTGCTGAGCCTTTTGAAAAATGAAATGTATTATAATTGATTATCATGAACATATGTGAATCTTGCATCAGTAGACTAATAAAGATAATTTCGATCGAGTATCTGTTGTATGATATTTCACATGCCCGATATACTTATTATGAAAGTCATACTAGAAGTAATTTTTCAAGTGATTGGAATCTCATTTCTCATGGTAACTGGTTAATTCTACCTCACATGAACCAGCCCAATCCGTCATTCAATCAGATAATGAGTGGTTTTTCTTTTCTCCCCGCGGAAGGAAGTACCCGAAGGGATCCCAAAGTAAAAGGGCAACTGAATTTGGTTACTGGAAGGCCACAGGAAAAGAACGCACTGTTAAGTCAGGCTCAAATCTTATTGGTACGAAGAGAACACTGGTTTTCCACATGGGCCGAGCACCAAAAGGGCAGAGGACCGAGTGGATAATGCACGAGTATTGTACAAGTGAGAAATCTCAGGTTAGTCAATACTCCCTATGAATGAGTGCTTTGTGTGCCCGTATATATAGAGACTAACATAAGTTCATCTAACACACTTCTGTATCTGTGTACACACAAACAGGATCCAAATGATAGTGATACATCTCATTGTAGGTAGAAATTGGCTGACGTGTTTAATATTCTACAAAGAATATCCCAATTTGAAATCATTCTATGTAACATAGATTTCTTGTCAGATAAGCTACAAAATATGCATTACTTATCCTTTTGTGTTCTTTGGTCCTCTGATCCATCCACTCAGTTTTCTTAACCTGCATTGTGATAATATGTTATTGAAATAGAAGAAGGGTTCTATTGACCTTATCATTGCAGTTACTGCATATATTCTTAATCCCTGTTTTCTATAAAATGAAGAGGTTTTCTATAAAAAAAAGGCGACATCGTAAAAATGGAGCAAGTGGTTTGGCTAGCAGAATTGAGTTGTGAAGAGTGAGCACTTGATTTGGATATCATCTGAAAATCAGAACAAGAATTTTAAGATGGGTACCAGTTCATTGAGGAGGTTTGATTTATGAAAGACAACTGATATTGTTTATATGATAACTGTGCAAGGCACATAAAGAAACAAAGTATCAGTTTCGTAACATTATTCTTAAAGATGAGGTCAATGGTAGAATTTATCTTGAAAATTCTTTCTTCCGGATAGATCCAAAACAAGAAGTCAACTTCTCTCATCAATATTTCTTTTCAACAAGAAATGTAATGATATTCATTGAGCCATCTCTCACTCTCTAGCTTGTTTCTACAGCCTGTATGTTTTTGAGTGATCTTATTAGCATGTTCAGAATCATCACATTTGCCTGATTAAGTGATGTATTTTACTAATGTATATTTGTAGGATATTACGGTTGTATGCCGCCTTCGGAAGAACAGTGAGTTCCATATAAATGATAATCAGGGAAGAAGTTCTCTCGTTCCAAGTGATATGTCTGCAGTAAACAATGTAACTACATCTCTATATGGAGTTGAACAATCAGGCATGGTTGAAGGGACCAGGGTGGGTGACAGCTGTTCAAAGGAGTATAGTAGCGGTTATAATTCTCATTCTGTGGAACAGATTGACTCTGACTCTGAATCTGATGAGAAAGTAGCGGAGTTCAATCAGCACAATTCTTCAAGCAATGAGAAGGTTCGCGGGGCATGTCATTTTATATATTCATGCTCCGTTGGTTACTGCTTATATATGCATATCTAACCCAGATTAAGAGGGAAGAAGAAAGATGTCCTTTGATATAAACGGATTTATGATATCTGTTCTCTAATGCGAAATTGCAGGCTAAATATCAACGTTAGCTGATTCCTCATGCTAAATATCTAATCTGTTGTTTGATTGTTTTCTTGTTGCAGGATTGTGTTGATGAAGAGGATTTTTATGCTGATATAATGAAAGATGATATAATCACACTAGATGATTTTTCATTAAATGCAACTGCAGGACTCTTTTCATCAGTCTCTGTAAAACCCAAGCCGGACATGAAATCTGAGCATCTGACTCAGGCTACTGTAACCACCACACTTCCTTTCCAGGGGACAGCAAATCAAGGGCTAAGACTAAGGTGGCCAAAACTAGGACGTTGTCGAGTAAATCTCTTTCAAGCATCTAAAGGCGAAAAGGAGTACACTGGTGAGAGCGTAGCTTGCTCAAGTACCCAGCAGACACCACTTGGCCATTTTCCAACAACTAGAGTTAGGATTTGGTCCTTAACCCTGTTTCTGGTTCTATTAGTTTTTCTGGTGCTACTTCTCTTCTTTACTGGAAGTTATTGGCAAGTCAAGAAGGTTAATCATGGTTCCGGATTTAAAAGATCTCCTAATATTGACTGGTACGGATTTCTTACCTCGATCCTGAAGTGATGCTTATATTCTAATGTGTAATATATTGAATGAGCTCAGATACATTTATAATTTATATACATGTTTGCTAGAAATGGATAATGAACCTATTTTATATATTCGGACAATTTTTTCTTGAGACCGCAATATTCTATTTCACTTTGCTTTTTTTTTTTTTTGGCAAATATGTTGTTACAAGTTCATTTTGGTTTCTGAATGCCTTCTTGAAGCCACAGGGAACAATACTATACATAGAAGGACTGCAAAAAATTGTTTGTTCCATCAATGTAGGCTGACTCAGATTTTGATACAAGGTTCATGTTCTACAGAATTTCAAAGTTTCAGTGTAACCATTTTTCCTTTCCATATCAAAGATTCACCAGTTTTGAGAAACGATGGCCTTCTTAAGCTATACATTTATTCGGTGTCCGTGGGATTTTTCTAAAAGTACTCAAAATTTAGTAGGAAAACGTAACGAGGTAGCAGTAGAACCAGATCAACAGGTATTGTTGGATTTTTTTAATTATTATTTTCTTTCAATTAGGATAATAACATATTCCATTGAAGTTTACGTTATCCCCACCACACTAGGCCCATGTTACCATGAATGTTCTAGTGCAAAAGTTTAAAATTCTGATCCCTTCCATTTATTCAAGCAATTTGAAATTTTATTTTCATTCGAAGCACCGTGCTTCTATTTCAATCTCACAGTGTTCTGCAGTTTGGAATGGAAGATTAAACTAAAAAATTCACGACATTTACCCAAAAGATATGATCAAGAGTAATCAAGTTTGAAAGTTTTAAATTATTTACATCCACGTGCGGAATTACACAATTAAAAGCAATAAGTCACTTTTTAATTATTTCTAGATGATTAGATTAAACAAGTCAATTTATCCTAAGTTTGAATACCACAATCAATAATTAAAGAAGTAAAGAACACCAAAAATGATCACGGAAAAACCCAACTGGGTAAAAACTCCGGGCACTTTGCCAATTAATAATTCACTATAAATCAAAGCAAACTTACAGTACGGTCCAGACTCGTCTACCCCGTAGAACTTCTGACCTTAATTCCTGCAGTCTCCTTTAATTCTCATGGAGATGTGCCCCTTCAAAACAAATCCCGTCTCCTGATTTATACTTTAGCCCTCCTAGACTACGTGCTCCTGACGTCAGATCCCAACTACTGGTATCTCACCTTAGTCCTCTTGAATTTGTGCTTTTGCAACAACTCCTGATTCCTGATATCGATTTATTTTCGATGGATTAAATAGTTTGGTGTTTGATCAAAAGATCTTGTGTGTTTTGATATGTGGTTTAATATGAAACAATATGGAGAAATCAACAAATCAATGTTTGGATGAAATTATGGCTCAAATAATATGATGATTGAATCTTGGAATTAATGAATGTGTTTTGATCTCCAAAGGAACGTTCTCTATGGAAAATATGATTCAACACACTTTTGGACGTTCATAGGGTATGATAGATATAGGGAAAAAATTTTGGGATGAAAATGATTGAAAAACCAAGTGTTTGAAGCAAAACAGAATTCTGAACGTTGACCTGTCGCTCGAGCACCAAGCCAACGATGGGTGAGCAGCAGCTGAGCAATTGTCAGTATTTCTATCATAACTTTCTCTCCCGATATTCGATTGAGGTAATTCAAAAAACCTAACTCAAATGGGTACATTTATTCTATAAATAGCCTCATCTAAATTCCAATATTTTCTATGTGAAAAATGCATTGAAAATTGCGACTACGGCTCTTTGGACTTCTAAATGCATTCCAATGATCATATGTGATAATCTTGAACTCCTTCAAGGACTATACTACCAACCCAACTCTTTTGACTTTAATTAGGATTCTATAACTCCTATTTTGATTTTGATTTCAACTCGATAAACTCCTAATACAATTCAACTAGAACTTGATGACTAAGGAAATTGCCAATTACAAATTTAGAAATTGTCAATTATAATTTGGACTTAACAATCTCTCATTTTGGCATTCCGTGACAAAATTATATTTATTTCAAAATCAATAAGTCTTAAACTATCCAAAAATAAACTTTCCAAAATTTTCTTCAATAATATGTCAATCCGTTTCCTGAAACACATGAAAATCACAATATTACATGAAAAGAAAAAAAAGGAAACTAACAAAATCAAAATCATATAACTAAGTTAAATAAAAACATAATAAAACACGCGTAAAACCGAAACATGCATCATTTGAATTATAAATTTAGAAATAAATTATAGAATTTTATATCAATATAGACAAAACATATTAAATGACTCCCACTAAGTCATCTATCAATCAAAAAAATTAAAATTTTCCTTCTGACTCATATAATCAACTCTCTGAAATAAATAAACATCTATCTCTCCCCCTTTTTGTCACGAATAACAAAGGAAAGACAAGTAATAATCATGTTAACACATAAAGGAATGGGTAAAAAAAATATTCACATGTACAATGATGCAAAAAAATTATGCAAAAACATGTGATAGGAGAATAAAAATTTTCCAATTTCTAGACAATTGTTTTTATTTTTCATGAATATTTAAATGCATCATCATGAACAGTTATTTGCTTACTTATACATGTATAATTCATAAATAGTAAACTTTTTTCATATAACTTATTTAACTAAACCTATATGGAGTAAATTGTATAATTCATTCATGTGTGAAAAGTGCCATTAAACTCATGTAAGCAAGTCTGAGAACCTTAAATCAATAAAAAAGGATGTGCACAGAATCACTGCTGAATGAATATATTCTTCAAAATATGAAGTCAAACTCAGTATTATTAGGATCTTTGTAAATTAAAGAGCTCATAAATAATTGTATAGATTTTTTCTTTCTCTCCCTATCCGCGAGCACATATATACATATATTTTTCTTCTAGTTTTTAAATCTTATGTACAGACTCTTTTTCATTAAGCTTTGTACACAACCTCTATAATGAGCTTTAGGTCGATGATTTCAAAGTCAAATGACTTATAGGGCACCAGGCATTAAGATAGCCCCGCATGCTTAATTACTCAAGTTATATATGCTATGAAGAAAATTATAAGATTGTCTCACAACATTTTATTTAATTCAAAATTTTTTCTTTAAAACTCAGCAGTAACCTTTTTTTCAAAAAAGGGGAATATAAAAAGAGTTTAGGTCAACTAGTTTAAAGGACATTCCATATTTAAAGTCAAGTCACCACACAGATGATCGTCATCCCAAATCGCAAACATGCGATCAAAACCCACTCACAAGAGTTTAATGTGTGTAGTGCATAAAATACATAAAATAACATATACCAAGTACTCAATTAATGAAAATTTAATTTACCAATTACGAACCTAGCTAGTACTTGATAGCAAAATAACATGTCTAATTTTTTCCTTTTTCAATTTTTTTTAAAACTTCATTTTTCAAGATAATAAATAAAATGCAAAACAAAAAAAAAAAAAGAAAAAAAGTTTATAGTGCATGCATGAATATGTAGATACCATGGAATAATGCAGATGCATGCACCTAACTACCAACTCAATGAGGCACAGAAATGCTCTTACCACGAAGAACAACGCGAGCATATTCCACAATGTCAATCATCATTTTGACTTGCGAGTTCACTCTTTTTGAGCCAAATCTTCTTAGAAAAAGATATAATCTTAGTCAATTTAGTCATCAACTCAGTCAAGTGACTCACTTGATTAGTCAAGAATCTAACATCGGTAGTTAGATCTTGTTTATTTTTCCTAATCAAGGGCTTAGGACATTTAAGTCTAATGTGACCTAAAATACCACAATTATGACATGTGAAAATGAATTTAGAAACAATCATAGATTTCAAATTTTGAACCTTAGGTGGAGGAAACTTATTTTGTATTGATGATTTCGGTTCTCGAACACCAATATTCTTGGTCTTGTTCCTATTCAAAAGCTCGCGACACTTGGGTCTTATGTGTCTAACCTTACCCTAATGGTGACACATGGGGATGAACTTGAGAGTAGCTCTAGGTCTCAAATTTTGAACCTTAGGCATCGAGGTAGGTACAAACTTATTTTTCGAAAAAGAAGCAATATGAGAATTTGTTTCATTAAAGCCTACACCTCTTCTATCCCCAATTGTTTTATTCAAACCTATTATGCTATCAATTTTCTTAGATCTACTAGAAAAAATTGGAGTTAGGAATTTGATTTTTCCAAATCACTCATAAGAGATTTAACCTTAATATCTAAGGAGTCTTTCTCAACTTTTAACTCATCTAAGTGGATTCATCAAGTTTTGCTACAAGACTCTCATTTTCTAATTCAAGATTATTCAATTTTTTAAAGGTAGAGAGATTCACTTTTTTCACCAAGAGACGAGAACAAAGCTTTGTCACCACACATATGTCTTGAACACTCACTATTAAGATACCACATAGAGTTATTTTGAGTTTTAAGTGCAACGTGAGCAACATAGCAATTCAGTTGATCTTCAGACTTAGAAAGGTCACTCTTCTTTACCCAAACCTTCTTAGAAGTAGAAGTGATTTTAGTCAACCGAGTCATCATCTCAGTTAAGTGGCTAACCTGATTGGCAAGGAAGTTAACCGTGCTCGAGACATCCTGACTTTTACTTCTAGTCACGAGTTTATGACACCTAGGTCTTGTGTGTCCCAGTGCAACACAATGGTGACATACTGGAATAAACCTAGATTCAAACATGCTCGACGGTTGTTGTCGATAATTAGGACGATTGACCCTACGTTGTCTAGTAGGTCTTGATTCAAAGATATTCGTGCCCTTGGGTTCAGGATTAACAGCACTCCGAGCGTTGTTAGTGGCTGGGATAAACCTAGTCTTGGATGTATTAGCAGTGGTATCACCATTTTGAACATAACCCAGACCATGCTTATTTCCAGCAAGTTTGTTCATCCTTAACAGATTGTCGAGTTTTTGCGTACCACTCATGAACGAATGCAGTTGTGTATTAGATTTTTCTAGATCACTTGTTTGAGGATTTAACTTTGGCTTCTAAGTTTTCATTAACAAGCTTCAACTCATTCGGATTTTTGGTAGAGTCCTGAAGGTCACCTATGAGTTTTTTTTTCTTTCTCTTTCAAGATCATTTTTAACCTTATCAATCTCCTTATCAGATTAAATTGTAGCTATTGATGTGAAGCCATGAAATTTTGTTCATCCTCACCACCAGATGTATCACTCTGAGCACTCGAATCCAATTCATCATCACTCAAAGTTACTACTAAAGCCTTACGGCTTTCTTTATTCGAACTCATTTTCAAGTTAGGACATTCATTGTTATAGTAACCGTAACCCTGACACTCATTACATCTAACAGATTGAGTTTTTTTAATGGGAGTCCTAGAGTTATTTTTTTCACGTCTATCTTTTGAGAATTTATTAGGGACTTCATTTTTCCGTTCTTGAGGCTTTCTCCTATTTCTCATCATTTTCTAAAATTTTTTAACGAAATAAGCTATTTCGTCATCCCTTAGTGCCTCAGCATCAGTTGACTCACTCTCTTCTTTTCTAACAGTATCCATGGCTATGGATTTAACCTTTTTAGGTAGAGAAACAGTGAGTTCATAGGTTTGAAGGGATCCTATGAGTTCTTCTATCTTAACTATCTAAGTCCTTGCTTTCTTCAATCGCGGTGATGTTAGGTCTAAACCTTTCAAGTAGGGATCTAAGGACTTTTCTAACTATCTTTGACGCTGGAATCTTCTCACCTAGGTCATTCAGCTTCGCATAGAATTCATCGAACGATTCATCATCCTTCATTCTAATTTCTTCAAACCTAAAGGTTAACATCTGCAGTTTAGAATTTTTAACAGTTTTAGTTCCTTCGTGTGTGGTTTCTAAGATATCCCAAACTTTTTTAGGAGTCTCACATATCAAAACTCTCATAAACTCTTCTACAGACACAGCCATGAACATGGTATGAATGCCCTTACTGTTCCAGTTATACTCAGCTAAGTCATCTTTAGTCCATAATGAAATATCAATGGGTGTAACTAGACCAGCAATAGTAGTTGATGGTGGAGTCCACCCAATTTGAACGCTAATCCAAATGCGTTCATCCAAAACTTTAAGGAAGGATCTCATTCGAACTTTCCAATAAGCATAGTTGCTTCCGTAAAAAACGGAGGCACAGATAATGACTGACTCATCTAGAATTTATTAAGGGTCAAAAATCGAATTAAGGCTTTGATACCAATTGAAAATACGTAGTTTGACCCTAACAACACCTAGAGGGGGGGGTGAATAAGTGATTATATGGAATTAAAATTACTTAACAATTAAATAGCAACAAGTCACTATTAATTATTTTCTAGATGATTAATCATGCAATTCGTATTTTCCTATTTTGAATTACCGCAATTATGAAAGTAATAAATAACATAGATTTGATCACGGAGAAACCCATCTGGATAAAAATTTCGAGCACTTTGCCGGTCAACAATCCACTATAAACGATTTATAATTTAGAGTCTACAAGACTAGACGACGGCACGTACTATTTGATCTCTTGACTGTAATTCCAACAGCTCTCCTGGATTCTGTGCTCCAGCACCAATTCCCAGCTACAGTTTCTAAAGCTCTCCTGCAGCAACTCCTAGTTTTGTGAAATCGTCTATCTCCCGTGGATTCACGAAGAACACCGTGTTCTTCAATGCCTGGAACTCCAGTCACCTTCCCTTGATCTTCAGAAACTCTGATAGATATGGAGGAAGCACCAATTTGGTATTTGGATTATGGATATGATGTTTTCACCGCCAAAAGCCAATAACAGGACAAAGGTTGAAAGCAAAATATATGAAGATGATCTCAAAGGAATGCGTTTCTCTCAATTACCAACCTTGTAAAACCGTTGTGGCATTTGGATATTTACATGTAGGTTAGGGAATGAATGGGTTGGGCAAAAAACCTTTAAAAAAAATTAAAAAAATTCATGGATAGCACTGTCACTTGGGTGAAGGGTGAGCGACAGTTGAGCGATAGGTTGTCGTTTGAGCGAAGGCGAGGTGACAGGTGGGCGACGCAGTTTCTATTTCTGACGCTTGAGCCAAACCTTGGCGATAAGCTAAAGATATTCCGGCACCATTTTTCCTTCTTTTCCATTCTCGAACCCTAGACCTAATATAACACAACTTTCTACTATTTGCACATTACTCCTTGACTTTTACAACATATCAATTTAAGTCCATTTTGTTCATAGAACTTGGTAAACCTTAATTGTTAGTTCCAATTACATTAAATACCTAACAATTACAACTTGGTAAACTCCTATTACAATTCAACTAGAACTTGATTTTGACTAAGGAAATTGCCAATTACAAATTTGGAAATTGTCAATTATAATTTGGACTTAACAAAGTTCATGCATCCAATCTGACAATCCTTCATCACTTCATCCCTTTGCAACCGATATACATTACCACATAGAACACTTATTTTCTTCTCATGTTAAAGGAAAAAAAAGATCCTTATGCCTCATAATTTTAACTGAATATTACAAGACTCGTTTATGGGTTGTTCCAGATTTCAGAAAATTTTAGCCAGGGAAAAGAAATTGGTAGGATATCGCGTTTCTTAGGTGATTTTTCTATAAATTTTAGATTAACGATTGAGAGAAGAAACTGATATAATGTCATTTTTTCTGAAGTCCTATTAATCTTTGATAATCACATTTAAACTCTTCATATGCTGGATCACCTATGACATATTACCCTTTTAAGTAATGGATCCAGATTTAACAAGTAAAGCTAAATAGAGAAATGCCAAACTCAAAAATAGAGAATAAAAGTCGCAATATAGCGATCTATCTAACGTTTTTAATCAACATGGAAGCATCAATTTTCTTGCGAGTATACAGCACTACTCTGGATATTGAGTGCACATTTGTCTTGTGTGTTAGTATTTATTTAGGATTTTTCTTCCATATAGAAGTTGTGTTCTTCCATATAATAGCATTTGCACATTACATTCTATTTGTGTCTATAAGAAGTTTATTAAAATTATTGATTTGCTATTATTGCGCTATATAAGACTGCTCAAAATGGAGAAGAAAGATCAGCAGTTAGTGAAAATTAAACTTAGTGAAAAGACATCAATGTGAAGCATGGTTATGGCCTCAACTTTTATGAGAAGGTACGCCTCTTGATGTTCAATAGTAATGTTGTTTCATGTTGTTATGCCATCTGATAAATCTTCCCAATTAACGAGGTTAGAACTAATTATATTGTAGTTTTGAGGTACAATTTGCTTTTATTAAAATTTCCAGGAGTTTGTCCAGATTTCTCTTCTGAACTCAGTTTTCGTATATAGGAATTTGCTTCTTGTTATATTCTTGAGATATATGTTTTTTCGTATCGTATCGAGGGCAAATTTAGTGCGCTGCAATGGACGGTAAAATGGAAAAAAATAATTTACCTTCTTTCTATAATACTGTCCCATGTTGTAATCCAACCTACCAGACGAGTCAAAAAGGTTTTACTAACACATTGTATGTAACTAGACTGGAAGGCAAGGTAGAACTAATAACCAGTGCTGCTAGTGGAATTAGTGAGTCCACTGCACGATTATTCTCCATACAAGTATTTATTGCTGACATCCAAGATGACTCGGGAGAGGAAGTATTCAAAGATTTGGGACAATCACCAGCTTCTTTTGTCCACTGTGATGTAACTAAAGAATCTGATGTAGAAGCTACAGTTAACAAAGCTGTCGCCAGATATGGGAAGTTGGATATGATGTATAATAATGCTGGTATATCAGGAATACAAAAAAAAAGTATCCTTGACAACGAAAAAATAGAATTCAAAAAGATCGTTAGTGTAAACATGCTAAACATGACTGCCAATGTTTGTTCTACCATTGAAACTGGTGCTTCTGATGCATACGCAAGTTCAAAACATGGGGTGGTAGGACTAACAAGAAATATCGCAATGGAGCTTGGAGAATACGGCATACATGTAAACTGCGAGTCACCACACCTCGTTGCAACACCTCTGTCAAAGGATTTCTTCAAATTGAACAATGAGGATTGCCATAGTGTATATTCCCACCTCAAATGTGTTCTTCCTAAGTCAGAAGATGTGGCAGAAGCTGCTCTTTTCTTGGCAAGTGATGAGTCAAAGTATGTGAGTGGACATAATCTTTTTGTTGATGGAAGCTTCACCAGTATGAATTCAGTTTTCTCCATATTTGGCAATCCACATACAGGAGTTTCAAAGACTTGATACATACAAACAGCAATATTATATATGCTAATGCCATCACCCTTTGTTATGCTTGCTTATTTCCATTTTGTTTACTTGTAAATTCGACAATCGTGCTCATGTGCTCTTCTTTTTTCATTAAATTATTATTTATGCTCAGTTGACTGGATTTCATGTGATTCACTAACAATATAAGTTCTTCGAAAATTGAGTTTATACTTTTACTGAAGTGACATTTGATCTATGTTAAGACTGATAAAACATGTTTACCTTGGTTTTGAACAATAATGTAGTGACAAAGTCTTGTTGTATCAAATGCTACGAAAAGAAGATGATTTGCTAGTTTACAAGGTCATTTGGCACAAGCTTTTTCTGTATGATTTATTGTCTGTCAATGCAGGTCTTGGTACACAATAGTTTGTGTCACAGGGCCCGAACAATGCCATATGTACAGAAATAAGTTTCACAGAAATTTTACATACACTCACATGGGTGGGCCCCATGCAGGACCCATGGTAATAAAAAATTGCCAAAAAAAACTCACCCTCCTCCCTATTGTGAGGTATCGGTGGGGGTTCTGCCATGTACCCACAACACAACTCAAATGACAAGATATAGAGAGATTAATCACAGCCCCTAGTGTAGTTCTTGTATAGTTTTGCACTTAGGTTATCATGATGATTATATCGGAAGTTGGCACCACAAGTTCTTATATCTGTTTGGTATAGATTAAAATCAAAATTTTAAGAATAATGCTATTTATCATTATAATGATGGATCATCGGTGATGTTGCAACTTATGTGGAATGATGTGATAGGATAGTTCAATTTCCCTCCTGTGAAAATTGAAATGTCCCATCCTATTATTCCACATAAGTTGCCACATTACCGATAATCCATCATTATAATGATAAATAGCATTACTCAAATTTTAATTTAAGTCAAAGTCAATAATTAATTTCAACCACATATTTCATGAATCCCACATTTTATCAACTTTTATTAAAATTTATTAAAAATCTGATTTCAATCAACACCAAACAGGGGCATAACACAATGAACTACTAGGTATGATTGGTTTATTAACAATATTGAGTTTATTAAGCTCCTATTTAACAACCATTGATTATGGAAAACAAAGTTTTGTATAGTATTATATAGGAAAAATATGTGGTTGAAAAGTAGGGAAAAATTTTGGATTTACGTGCATAATATTTTATTACGTGAATATATGATTAAAAATGAATACATATAAAAAAAGTGATAATTGTATTTTATACACTTATTCGGGGAGCCTAAAATATTGATATTTGATAATTCTTTTGACAAAATATTGTATTTTATGTTATATATGTAAAATTCAATGATTGAACGAGGAATCGAAATAAAGAAACGAAAAATGGTGAAAAATGGTAAAATCCAAAGTTTGAGAACCAAATTGTAAATATTCAGTAGTTGATTCAAACACAAGAAGATACTTTGAAGATTTTTAGGAGACAATTTGATGGAATTAGAACTCAAAAATGAATGGAATATGATCAAAATATTATCAAAATCAATTTTCAATCGTACATGTTATATTCTAGTTTTTTAGCCTAATATTAAGACTCATTTTTGAAACAGTAAATGCCCGAATTGGAAAGATTCAATTCCATAAAAGTTGTAACCATTTGAGTTAGCTTTCCAATGCACTTTGAATCGCCTCAATCGGATATCGGGAGAGAAAGTTATGGCCAAAATACTGACGGCTGTGCAGAAACAAAAAATCTGCGTGCGAAGACAATTTTCCTTATTCGATTGGAACTCTTTTGGAAGCCAATTTGGACGTAATTTTTACCCAGTTTTCTACTCATACAAATACCTAACAGCAGAATACATATGTTCTCATACTCCAATATTCATCAATTATTATCATCAAAGGATGATAATTCATAGTTTTTGTAATAAAAGTGAAGGGGACTTGTAAGAATTCAATCAAGTGGAGATTTAAACTTGATTTTTTTGGGCAAAAAAGAGAATGTGCAAGTGGAGATTTATCAAGAAATCATTGAAAAGATTCAAGATTTCATGATTCATCTTCATCTTCTCAATTTATCAAAAATTCGGGCTATATCTTTTCACTTAAATATGATTTCTTATAATATCGATACGTTAGGCTAATTTTATACATTGTTAGGATGATATGAACCCTTGTTATGAAATTTTTTGTATTAATTAATTATTTTGACGACTAGTTTTATTGGATGCTTATTATTGTTTTTACCGACTTTTTTAATTAATTAGCTACTAATTGAGATGATTTATTGAAATCAATTATTATCGAGAGAGATAATATATTTTTAGTTAAAAATAATAAACATTATAAAATTCAATAAATGATAGAGATATACGTCTATGCGTTACATGATTTTCATAAATGTTCTAGATCATTTAATGCATTTATCATGTTTGTATCTTTCATCGAGAGATAAGAGGGTTATATGAGGGGAATAAATTTGATAACTATCGAGAGAAATTTTCAATTAAATTAGGAACACTGACCAAAAAGAATGATTACAAATTGTCACTTTAATTCGTAGTGCTAAAAATGGATTAACAAGGGGGATTCGACATCTTAGCAATACTTTCACATTTGAAATCAAACTGTTAAATTGTTTTCTAGTTTAATCGATAATTTAGATATTAGTATAGAAAATTCAAAACATATTTACTACTCGATTACGGTTGTTATTAATTTGAACTCGATTGAATACTTAGTTCTCATGGGTTCAACACTCTACACAATACTATATTACTTGTTTATGATTCTGTTCACTTGTAAAAAATCAAACGATCAAAAAGTTTAAAAATAATGATTGTCAAACAAAGGCTAAATCGTTCGTCAACACTATGCAAATAAATTGATATTTATGTTAGCGGAGAAAAAAAAAATTTCCAAGCATTTTATAAGTCACTCGGCTTCCATTCTTTCAATACTAATTATGAAAGGGAAGAATACATAAATCCTGTTTTTACTTATACACATTTCAAAATTAAGGTTAGATGTTTTAAATTTCAAAAATCAGGTTTTTATTTAAATTTATTTATGAATTACTTAATTAATTATATGTTTTATTAATAAATATATAACGGTCACAAATATATACAATTTGGTCACAATTCAAAAAATTTTAGGTCACAATTCAAAATTTTCATAAGTCACAATTTGTTTATTGGTCACAATTTAAAATTTTGAAAGTCACAATTTGTTCATCGATCACAGATCCCAAAATTTATAGGTCACAATACTTATTTAGGTCACAATTAATAATTTTTAGGTCACAAAATAATAATTTTTAGGTCACAATTAATAATTTTTTTGTCACAATTAATAATTAGTGGTCACAAACAATCAAATTATTTGTGATCACCACCAAAATCGTTTGTGACCACAACTAAGTCACAAATCACACGTTGAACACACAACCACCGCCAACAGCACCCAAACACGGAACCATGGCCGCCACTACCGCAACCACCTTTTGACTGAAAAACCACCACAGCAACCACCGACAAACGTCAACCATTAAAACCACCATACCCATCCAATCAAAATCAAAATCTAAACTAAAAAAATAAAACAGAAAAAATAAGATCTGCAGCGGCGTCGTGAGCATCACACATTCACGGCGCCGCTGCCTACTTCAAATTCACGAGGCCGACGTCGATCAATACCATCAACAAAAAATAGACAAACCACGACCATCAATCCGTAATACCCCAATCCATCGCCACAGATCTGCAAAAATCAGACCAACAACCCAACAATTACTCAAATCTGCTGTGATGCCGCTGTTGGCAGAAAAGAGGGAGGAGCGGAGCGACGGCGGCGGCTTCACAGCCACACCACTCACCCATCGCATCACCGTCGCACCGCCACCTCAAACATACCCACCGCATCGCCACCGCACGCGCACACCTCCACAATCACCACACCATTCAAAAAAAAAAAAAAAGAACGGATCTAAAGGCAGCGTCGCAGCTGCGCGTAGCGGCGAGGCTATGGCGCTGCCCAACGTCGTGCAATTTCGATTTAATTTGTCGAAGTAGTGACGAGGCATATGGTGGAAGCATACGGTGGTGACGCCCAGGGGCGAGGCTCGGTGGAGGCATATGGTGGTGGTGCTGCCGTTTAGGGGAAATGAGGAGGTGGTGGTGGAGTGGAGGGAGGCAAGTTGGGCGGCGGTTTCTAGAGGGAGAGCGGGGGAGGAGAGAATGGGGGAAGAGGTGAGAAAACGATAGGGTTGAGATGGATTAATTTAATTTAATTGAGGTGAAATATATAATTAATATTAATTTAAAGATAAAAAACCTGATTTTTGAAAAGTTAAATCTGTGACTTGATTTGTGAAAATGGATATCTAAAATCATGGCCAGGTGTAATTTCCTCATTATGAAATATTTTCAAAATGTTAATTATAAAAATATTTTCGCCACATAAACATTAGTTAATTCTTGCGTTATTCAAATTAGAATATCCACAGACCTTTTATTTTCTCTCGACTTTCCAATTTTCATGATTTTGTTCCTCTTTTTCTTTGCTTTACAGATTTTTTTTTCTTTTATGTTGCGTTTTGCGTGGGACAAGTACCAAAAATAGGTCAATTATTGTAGGGACATCTGTGTCATGGTTTGGCAGAATATTACCTAAAAGACGAACGAGCGATAACATCATTACGTAGAAATTGTAAGTATAAGACAACCCAGTGATAAGAACATTGTAAGATAGCAACACGAAAAGAGAAGACCAAGCAACTCTACTCCACATCATGAACAGTACAAAAGAAAAATCAACATTAGATGAATATCAGGACTCTCAAAAGCTTTAAAACATGTTCCAAGTCCACGTTAAATAGATGCGTTTTTGTAGGTTGACAGCGAGTATAAAACTTTGTCATGTGAGATTGATTTGAGGGAAATTGCCCAAACAGTGAGACACACCAGCACATCTTCAACATTTTTGGGTTAGTAAAATTAAAATG